CACTCCTCTGAACAGCTCATTCAGAAGCACTCGGCTTTACAGACATTTTATCCTGAGGCTTTTATCAGTGAAACGAAGTGGGGACACGACTTCCCTGCTCCCACTGCCACCTCCCCAGGTTGCACGCAGATCCCCTGCCACAGTAGGCTGTGGTCGTGTCTCAGCAGCAAACACAAAACAGGCGATAGCTACAACAATCAGAGAAGGAGGAATAATAACAATAACCTCTGCCGTTCTCAAGCTGAGAGAGATCCATGAAGTGCCCATTGGTATTTTGGTTGCAAGATGACGATATGTGAACTTAAGTGATATAAAGTAATCCATTATAATTATACCGATTAAAATGAGAAGGATGGCAAACCAAGCACTTTTTCATCACAGATTTTGGTTGTGAGGTTTTAAGCTCTGAAAATCACTTGTTCAGTCTTTAAAAAAAATGTTTCTATCAGCGTGAAGTTTAGCAGTTTAATGATACCTGCATTCTATGCAACACATATTCCTCCATTTAAACAAATCGAGGGTCTGATCTCATATTTACGACCAAGCTAAAACTTTCAGAGCTCTGAGTGCACAAGGAATGCAGAATCAGATTTTAAGACTCAGATCTTCAGCTCACAGCTGCCTCGAATATCCCTTAACAACATCTATTCCTAAGGCTTCCGCCCAGCTCAGAGAGAGAGGAAAAGATATTAATTAAGGGTGCTACACCAGTTCATACCAGCCAGAGATCCAACCTAATAGTTATAGTCCACAATAGAAAAAAGAGTCTTGATGGAGATCTCCAGGATACATATGCTAATTATCCTGAAGATAATTACTGGGTGCAATGGTAGGAGATGATGAGTACTCTTTACTCACACTGGAACCTGTGGGCCAAGTGTAAAATGGTGTCGGCTCCTTTCCTACTGGCTGATAAAGTATTAACATGAGAATCAAAGACACTCAGCAGTGCTATATATGAAAAGTCTATATGAAAACTGCATATGTATATTAACCAGCAGCTCTTTTGAGCAGAGCAGGGATTTTCAGATTTATATTGATAGCCAAAAGGGGTGCAAGAAACTGGCTGTTGGATTTTAAGTAGTGAATGCTTTATCCCTTTCTCCTGTCTCAGTAATCTAATGTTTCTTCTGGGTTTCTGCAGTCCACATGTTCTGTATTGCGCCCACGAGGATTTCTCTATGAGCAGTCTGAGGTGTCGACCTGCTGAAAGGATTCCTCTGGGCCAGAAGACAACTTGGTAATGTGGCCCGTTGTGGCCATCCTGCAAATCTTTTGCCCAAGTGCAACAGAAGCTTTCCTGAATGCCCTCTGTGCATTTATAGCACAGGACACTGCAACTCAAAGAGAGGGTAGGGTTGTGAGCTTAAATTGAAGATTACTTGGTCATCTAATGTGACATTTCTGAAAGGATTTAAGAACACAGGCACAGAAGAAATGCCCTATGAGGTCAGACCAGCGATCTGTCTGGTCCTGTATTCTGCCTTTGACGCAGATGGGAGATGTTCAGGCAGAAGAGCAAGTGAGCCCTGACGCTCTCTGCGGTCCATTCCTTGCATATACCCCCAGCATCCAGAACTGTTGTACTGGGGGTATTGGAGGGTACCTGGTGCTTTTGATACTCATTTCTGGACCTGCTGTCTGTATGTGTGTTGGAAGTTATTCAGCTGTTGTTCAGCTGAAATCTGAGTACAAATCTGAAAATACTTGAAAGCTCGGAGTAAGATTTACCAGTAACGCTATGCACTAAATAGTTGCAGTTGTATCAGCATGAAGACAAATCACGGGAAAAGGCAAAGAAATCAGTTTCTCTCTCTTGCTTCTTGGATTTTATCTTTTCCCTTTAAAATCCTTGGCTCCATCTCTTATTTGTAGCATTTCATCATATTACTGTTGCTGTTTGCATCCTGCAAGATTCCCAATCTTCCTCTTTGTACACATTTCCTTCTTTCCAATTCTGGAATGTTTTTGCATATTAGATTTTCACTATTTCTTTTCTGTTCTCTTCTGGTCCTTGTACTCACGTTTCCTTTCATACCACACATCCATCTTGTAAAGCAAACAGCTTAGCGTCATGGCCCTCATTGCATTATACTGCATTTATTTCACAACAATTTTTCAGAATAGTTCTCAGACAAAAAAATCTGTGACCCTTCATGTTTAAATGAGGTATTGTATGTGGCTTCTCACATGTTTTTTTTCAACTGAAAGGCCCAGGAAAGCGTTCGCTTCTAATACGTGGGAGAGTTGAGATAGGTGGCTGCGTTTCTGTTGCAGTTGTCAGCAGAAACACCACGTAAGATATAGAGTTCTAGGGAGGGGCAAAGCCAAAATTCAGAGGCAATCTACTGATCCCCAGCTGGCACTGTAGCCTCTTTTGGACATTTAAATGCTAGTAAGCCTTGGTGGCCAAGTGAGAAGGCACCAGATCAGGCATCTGAAGTGGTGCCAGGATTTAGGGCCACATGTCCACCCCTCGCTTGTAGACAAGTTGTGCTCCCTGTGAGAGCAGGCTGGGGAGAGCTTCGCCCCTGCTGTCCTGCTAGGGATCATACCAGCACATCTCCAGGGCGGACCAGGGCAATGCACAGGCTGTGTGTGCCCAGAGACATTGCTGCGAGGGCCACGAGGCCATGGAGGTTCCTCTGGTTGCCTTCCTCAGTGCTCAGGAAAACACAAGGCACAGCTCGGGGGGGGGGGGGGGGGGGGGGGCCCCGGGCTGGGCCCCCAAAGGTAGGCAAAGCAAGGGTGCAAGCCAGCTGGGGTAGCCCAAGCAGATTAGAGCCAGCAGCTACATAGCATGCTGCGCAACAGCGTGTCCTTCTGCCTGGCCTTATGGTTGTGCTGCTCTGCTGCTGAGATACAGTCAGCAGTTTTAAAGCTGCTTTAAAGCTGGCTCTTAGTGATCGTGAGGAGCAGGGGACACAGAGCTCTTAACTTCAGTCCCCATCAGGTTTGCCACTAAGTAGAGTCTGGCCATATCTACAGGTTGAGAGTCCTTTGTAGTGAATGTCCACGGAAATCAGAACCTTAATTTATTAACTGAGCTGCAGGAAACATATGTGCTTTTCTACCATGCACATTTAAAGAGTTCTGCCAATAAATTAAAAATCACCTCCGAAATACTTTTCATTCCCCAGGGATCATACAGCACCTCCAAAGTCTGTCTTACTGTTGTTCTGCCAATCCTTTTTGCACTGCTGTTGAACAGAGCTCATACCTAGCAGCAGTTCTTCCAGAGTGCTACATGTCGACTATAGGTCCTCCTAGGCCTGGTGCCTGTTGTTCTGTTTGTCTTAAACTTAGTCCTCCAGGGACCTAAGCAGATTTGTCATTAAGAAGTAGCTGGAGTATAAGGTGATATCAGTGCAACCGCAGGACATTTTAAAAATAAATACATCTGCATGATAAGAGAAATGAAGCTCTTAATTATTCAGAATTCATCACCTGCTTGCGACAGTATAGCTTTGTGATCCATTCAAAGCTTCATTTTATTTTGAATTTTTTTTCCAACTTTGTGCAGTCATATCAACCTTCCCTATATGCCTTTCATCTCCACAGTCTGCAAGCAACTCCGCCCTTTTAGGGAAAGCCACAATCCTTTTATAAGTTAGAAATTATTGAAAGGTAAGGCTACACCTTGGGCTCTATTCTTCCCTAGCTTTGCTGCGTGGGGGAAATACGGAGATGGTCTCAACTGTCCAGTATCTCCTCCGGTGCAGAGGGAAGTTAGACCTGAGTCCTTGTTTCCTTCCCCGTGAAGGAGCAGACCCGCTGCCTTCATGCAGTAAAAAGAAATACTCCCTGTACAAGACCTTCCTTTAATTTTTTACTAGGGTATCACGGGAAGGTCAGATGAAATCTGGCCCTAGAGCATTTAATCTGACTCATTTTTTTTTTGTACAGCTTCTTTCATGTAAACAGTACAGTAAAGCACTTTGCAGAACAAAGGAGTATTTGAGAAGACTGCTAAAGATGTTGGGTTCATTAGATTCACATAAGGCCAAATACTGTCCTTCAGGACACACCTTTCATTAGGAGTTAGATCATGCATCCAGGGAATGGAAATTATCCTTTAATGCAGTCATATCAAAGAGATTCCACTTGACAGTTTTCTCATTTCTTGCCACAATTAGAAATGCTAGCAAAAGCCTTGGAACAATAGTTAGTTTTCCCTTTGATTTATTCCATGTCTCAGGCTTGCTTAATTTTTAAAAAATTCTGTATGACCATTTTTCCCTTTGATTTATTCCATGTCTCAGGCTTGTTGCTTAATTTTTAAAAAATTCTGTATGACCACAGGAGAGCCCTCTTTCTGTTGGCAACTTGCAAATGGCCAACACTTCTCTCCTGCCTTTGCTCTCCCACAGAAACCAGCTCTTCGGTTTCAAACTATTTCTTGGCCTCTGCAGCACGAGAAAGAAGACATTGTTCCAGGAAGCGACCCACGTGTTGGCGTTCATGGCCCAAGGTCTGTCTCGCTGCGTCAGCTGGGCCCTCCTTGCAAGGACGTGGATGGAGGGTGGAAAGGCTTGGTTGTGTTACAGAAGTGATACGGGAGGTTGGGGAGGCAGATGGTATCAGCAGGACAAAAAGAGATGAGGCAAATTTGCAGATAAGTCAGTAAATGTGCTAATAGCAATACGCAGCAACGCACCATCTAAGATCCCTCAAACAGTAATTCTGTTTGTTGGGAGATAGAGAAGAATGGACCACAAAAAGTGTCTACACTCACATGCTCTCCATGAACAACATCTTCCGCCTCCTGCATTGAAGACAGAATACTGAATGAGATGGATCATTAGTTTGATTTAGTGGGACATTTCTGCTGCTCTTAATGATGGCCTGATATTTGAAATTATTATTGTTTTTCAGTGAAATTTTCATAGCACTTGAATTGTAATAGCAATCATGAATCAAATTAAATAAGCAGAAGTCATGTTTGTCTGAGTTTTTATTGCCATAGGATGCATTTCTATCTTGTAGGTGTTCTTCTTTACTGTCCACTTGCAGCATGTCATATAACTATTGGTGTCCATATTTCTGAGGGGGTGCATTTGAATGCCTGATTGGAGAGAGGAAGGGAGAGCAAGAGAGCTGGAAACAGGTAATGTACCAGATGTGGGCTTGTTCTTTTAAAATACAAAATTTCTGTTCCAATTTTTAAAAAAATCTAGGTTTTATTGCAGGTAGAAGGGTGACCAAGTCTGGCATAGTGAATTTTTTCATACTCATATTCAGTTATCAATCTGATTTACCTCACTTAATCCCTTTGGAAATTGTATCTGACCTAATTTTTTCAGCAGTGACTCTTACGGCAAGAACGAATAATAGGGGTGACCCTGTGCATTTTTTTTACCCCCCTGCCATATCTCTTTCTCTGTAGTGTGGATTATTCTAGTTTCAGTCCACATTCATGTGCAAAGAGACAAAGTCAAAGATCAGTTCAAAACAGCCGATACATTCCTGCAAATTCACATTTGGCAGTACTATAAGTGGGTAAATATTGCCAACATGTATTGATTGCTTTTTCTGCTTCAGCCAACAGACCCATAGTTATCTGCCAAATACTCGTTTTTTGTAAATGACACCTCGTATTGCTTGATGGTGCATGGGCTGTATCAATTCACTGTGAGCCTCACTTGCTCCGAGAGTGTTATTGGCTTTATAGGGGATTCTGCTCTTTTCAACAACAGATTTTGTGATTCCACCTTTAATCCAAATTTAGCAGAGAAGCAGCCAGCTAATGGTGAGACTTGAAGTTATGGCCATTTGCCGCGTTTTGGGGAGTTGTCTGTCTCTTAACTCCCTGTGCCGCTTCAAGGTGGAAACCTTAGAAATTGCTTTTTTTCTCTCCTGGGCCATTATTATTTCTCTGTGTGTGCATGTGTGTACTTGTGTGTGTGTGTGTTTGTGTAACCTGGTAAGATACTTTATGGCCTATTCTGTTAATAGGTCTTCTGCATGGCTCCTGCTGCAGCCAGCAGCCGAGCTGCCCTCACCGCTCCTGGTGGGTGATGGAGAATGCTCAGAATTCAACAAGTGTCTGTGGGCTCTGCTGCTTTTTTATCCCCTGCAAAGGCAGGCCTGCAGTGCGGAGGAGAGTGCGCTCTGCTCCAAGCAGTGATATTCTGGGTTGCTGGTGGTCTTGAGGGAAATGCTGATTTTGGATTCAACGACAGATGGAAAAAAAAATGTTTCCCCAAAGAAGTTATTTCCCTTTGCCAGAAACAGACCTGTTTTATAAGAAGAACTATGGAGCTGGACGCTATTGCCGTCGTCTAGATACAGAAGCCGAGAAAAGGCAATATTTCATTGAGTTATATTGTTCTTACAAGGATTATAAAATAATTACTCCTTGAGGTCTTAATAGGTCCAATATCAATGTCCTAGGCATTACAGAAATGTGGCAAAGGGATATACCCTGCTTTAAGAAACACATATGTCAAGAAGATGTGGAAATCCATTATTGCTGCTTTTGACCTGACATTGGTGGTTATAGTGAAGAACCTGTATGAATAAACAAAATCAATAACACAAGATGAATGCCTCCCTTTAACAGCAACCACTGCATGGAGTAGTTCGTTTAAGAAGCCTTTGCCGGACTGGAAGGTATACAGTGACTCATAAATGCTTTTGCTATGGGTTCTTTTTCTGCTGTGGTCATTAATCAACTCAAACTTTCATTTAGCTTACCGTTACAAAGAAAATCGTGCCTCCTGTATTGCACAGCTGCAGTGTGATGGGGAAGCTTCAGACCCTTCCTCCTCTCATCTAACTCTTCCTCAGTGCATCTGCGTAGTGACAGAGAAGGAAATGAACTTAATAGCTCCTGGCCTAGCACGTATTACCTCCATTAGCTGTTGGTACTGAGAATTAGCCCATCTGGGAGGGCAGCTGGAGAAGGCTTGAACACCGTCCCTTCACCTCACTTCACCTCACAGTTTTTCTCTTCCCTATCCCCAAAATGGGCTTGAACTAGGAGTGATTTGACTCCATAATGAGATTGATATTGATTGGATCAGTCCCTCAAAGAGAAGAAATACCATCGTTAGTTTCAAAGTATTTGTGATGCTGAAAGTCTCTTTTTTATTTTATTTTTTATTTTTAAGTGAAGGGAAACTGAGGCAGAAAGGAATGGCGGCATGAGGAAGAGAACTTCAAGGCTTCAGCAGAGTGGTCTTCCTCCCTGTTTATGCAGAGGGATATTGAGGTCCTCATGTGGGGTCCTTGTGATAGGATGGATGGTGCAAGCTGATGATTAACTGTTTTGAGAGAGCTTACAGCTCTGCAGTTAGAGAGCTAATGGGTAAGGAATTATTACCTGCGCTTGGATCTCAGTTATGCAATCTTTGTCTCTGGTCTTCTGTGAAGGAAGAAAATTGAAGCAGAAATGAAATTTATTAGCAGGACAAGCTGCATTATGAACATGGTAAATGCTGATGTCTTACTGCAAATGAGGTATTTGCTAAATAGAAATGCTTTTAAAACAGTATAATCCTTCACTGTCCCTCCAGGACAAACAACTGGAGAGCAGTGATTGCAGAAATCATTTAGGTCATGCAAATCAAGCTCCAGCAGCAGCGTTTCATGCAGTGAGAAGGGAAGGCTGGACTGTCCTATTAAGAAGCCTTGTAATGATAAAACATGATTAAAATGACTTTGAAGAAATTACCAAGTGGGGGTCAAGAAGGGCTAAGAAGGGCAGGCTGATCATGGAAACGTGTTTTTAAATGGACTAATTCCACAGGGGTATGTTTATCATAGTCACACATAAATGGCTGAACAATAATCACACCAAAATTATGTGAAAATTACAGCCTTTACAGGGTCTGAGGGTAGTTTAGTAGCTTTTTATATACAGAGCTGATTTACATCAAGTGACACAGGGGTCTAAAATTCTCACGTCATGTTTTCACAAAAGATGACAATCAGCTTTCTTCTGGACTTAAATTTAAATGTCACTTGGAGAAATATCAAGTTACCCAATATTGTACAGTGTAAGCAGAATGTAACAAAAGGTACCGCAGCTAATGCTGCTGCCGTAAGCTTTATTGTACAGGGGAGCCAGTTCTGTCGTGTGCAGATCCTGGAGATGAATTTCCTTTACAGTGGCGCTGGCCTGCCAGTCCAGCTGAATGAAGAGAGCGCAATTGCTTTCTTTAATGGAACTAAACAATCCGGGATGTATTTTATGTGTGGCAATACCTGGAGGAAATGTATCAAGTGCACCGTTTGGTTACCACAAGCTGCGCATGGGCCCTTCACAACTTGGAGGGCTTTGACTCCTCGGTGTTATTGCACAGCAGAGCTGAGAAGTACCTCTTTATAAGCTAATGGTTATAAACCAGATTGAACAGCAAGCTGTCTCTTGGCAAACACTGAGGAGCATGTCTGTTCCTCCTCCCCCCTCCTTCCCAGCCATCCCTTACTTCAATTATCAGAATTATTTCTATTTCCATCTTTCGGAGGTTTTGGTGCCGAGGACCCAAGGGCAGTTCTGGCGCATGCAGCTCCCCAAAGTCAGTGACACCAGCCTGAAATCATGTGCTCACCCAACTGCTGACGCTCAGCTTTGGACTTGCCAGCTCCAAATTAGGTTTTGAGGAATGCAGATTTCTGAAGAGCTACCGAAGTGGGGAGCTGGCTGGCTCTGGGGCTACGTCAGCACGAAGGGGAAGGGACAACCAAGGCTGTCTTTGGCCTGGCCATGGAGTTGTAGCGGGGGAACTGAGAGGCCAATTAGATCTCTACCCAACAGTACGATGAAGAGCACAGGAGCTAATTACTTACGAGGTGTTACTGTGACAACCCACGAGGCAGCAGCGCACTGAAAACAAAGTACGGAAACATAAAGCTGAAACCAGCGGAGAAAAAAAAAGAAAAGATAAAAGACATGAAAGAATGGAGAAAAGAAGTACAACAGAAGCAAGAGCAAATGAAAAGGTGAAAATAAATACAATTTGAAAGGATGGGGAGAAAAAAAAAGTAGGTAGTGAGGGGGCACCAAGATAGATGCATGATCAGAAATGAAGTGCCTGACAGCCTGAAAAATGGTTAGCAAACGAGGTATCAGGATGTGGTGCTTTCACACCAAAGACCCAGAGATGTTTTGGGTGGGGTTTTTTTAATCTGACTCTAACCATATCAAAGTGAGGTGTTCAGCCTGAGGAGGTCTCCTAGGCTCTGTCTGTAGTTAGAAGAGAGAGACAAGTGCCCAGCAAGGCTTGGTCATTCTGCAGTCAGTGTGGATGCCGTGGATCCACAGATGTTTCCTTTGCTGTCAGTGATGGCTTTAATTAAATTGCAGCTCTTTTTGTCTCCTGGCCTTCTCACTCCTCTGCACTGTTGTATGACTGGTGCTGGTGAAGCTGTTACTGGGGAGGCACAGTGAATTGTGTTGAAAAATCCAGGAGAATTCAACTCCCAAGAACATCCAGAACTTTGACAGCTGACTGAATATAAGCCAGCAGTGTGCACAGGTGGCCAAGAGGGCCAACAGCATCCCAGCTTGTATCAGAAATAGTGTGGCCAGCAGGAGCAGGGAAGTCATCTTTCCCCTATGCTCAGCACTGGTGAGGCCGCACCTTGAATACTGTGTTCAGTTTTGGGTCCCTCACTACAGGAAAGACATTGCATTGCTTGGAGCGTGTCCAGAGGAGAGCAATGAAGCTGGTGAGGGGTCTGGAGCACAAGTCCTGTGAGGAGAGGCTGAGGGAACTGGGGTTGTTTAGCCTGGAGAAGAGGAGGCTGAGGGGAGACCTTATCGCCCTCTACAACTGCCTGACAGGAGGCTGTAGCCAGGTGGGGGTCGATCTCTTCTCCCAGGTAACGGGTGATAGGACGAGGGGAAATGGTCTGAAGTTGCGCCAGGGGAGATTTAGATTGGGTATTAGGAAAAATTTCTTCACTGAAAGCGTTATCAAACATCGGAACAGGATACTGAGGGAAGTGGTTGAGTTCCCATCCCTGGAGGTATTTAAAAGATGGGTAGACGAGGTGCTTAGAGACATGGTTTAGTAGTGGACAGGTACAGTTGGACTCAATGATCTTAAAGGTCTTTTCCAACTAAATGATTCTATGATTCTGCGATTTTAACTCTTGTTAGCCCACGTTGGTAATTTGATCTGGTGGTCACAGAGCGGCTGTACAGAGCTTTGCTGACTTGCTGAGGGAGTCTTGTAGGGGCAGAAATGAGTGGCTAAAAGAAATGTTGAGACCTGGTTAAGCTGTCACTGCCAGTGGAAAAGCTGCCCATTTGCTATGCTGGAGGATGGTGAGTGACTGGTCCATCAGAGGTGTCTTGGTAGAGAGAGCTCTGATGGTTAGCCTAGCCTGGCAGCCTCACTTCTTCATGGCCTTACTCTTTGCAACTAGCATTTCGTGTCAGTTATTCCTTGCAACCTATGGTATATCTATCTGGCCTGTTAAATACATGGCAGCAGAGTTAACTTTGTGACAGAGGGGTCCAGGAGAGCGCAAGGGAGCTGCTCCTGAGGAGTTTTGGTTGGTTGTGGTGGCCACGGCTTTACACGGCTGCAGGGGGTGTTGCACACTGTGTGGTCAAATGTCATTTTGTATGGCAGGAGTTCAGTTCCATAAGGTCCCCCATATTCTTCCTGCTCCACTCATTTCCCACTGGGCTAATTGCTTTGGCAGTGCAAATGGCACCCGCGTCAGCTACCTTTCATATTTAAAAACTGTTCATATATAGAAAATTCCAATAACTAATTCCAGCAAGGAAATTCCGATGCAGCAGCTGTCAGAGGGCAGTGAAAATTAATAGAAAACAGCTCAATGAAAACAGTCTTCATTTGAAACAGCTAAAATGCATGGTTGATTTAAGTATCTGGCCAGCTTGGATTAAGTAATCTATGCTGGGCACAGACCTCCAGCAGTCACTGCACTGCTAATGAGTGAAACAATTCTCTTATTATAAAATCATTATCAGTCAATAAAAGGAGCTCAAACCACAAAATAGGAGCAAAGTTCAGGGATCCGAGAATTTATAGTTTAGCTCCATCACTGAAAATGTCAGGAAATTAAAAGAAGCTCTATGTAAGTCGCCACACCGTGGAACCCAACACACAAAACCAATCCCCAAGTGCCATGGCAACACTTATGGGCTCTTCTGAAACAAAATGCTGTTTCTAAGGTGAAAGAATGGGGCCTTAATCTTTGCTCCCAGCTCTCCATGCCCACCTTCATCCCATAAGTATGGTTCACACAGCTGCTAATTATCTAGCAAAATGCAGACAGGGAAGACCGAGGTGAACACTCAGCTTGAAGAAAAAAAATGAGCAATACGAAATGTATCTAATTTAGGCTATAAAGACATAAAATAAGAAAAAAAAATCAGTGAGCTAGCATTATGCCTACGAGGCAGGCACAGCTCCCCATGAAGGGCCCATGCTCCTTTCTAGACTTGACCTGGGCTTATGCAGAGCTGTCTTAGGAGTTACCAAAAGCAGGATGGATAATCAGTGATGGCTAATTGATAGCTGACTGTTGCTGAAGTTGACAGAGAAACTAGCTGGTGATTTTTCTCAGCAAAGGAGGAGTTTATTACATTACATTACACCTCTCATTTGGCTAGGCTCTGCTCGGGTCTTGGCTCGACTGATGTTTATTCAGCACCTTCTTTCCCTTCCATTTGTTCAAAGGAAAGAGGTCACTTTTAGGTGGCTTCAGCAATTCCGTGCTGGGACTCGGCCAGTCCCAGCTTCCCAGCTGGTCCTTGGGTCGCCCGGTTCTGCCTCCTGCATGCATGGCTTTCTGCCTGAAGGGCTGCAGATGGGATCTCTAACACCCTACTTCCTTTCGTGATGGCTGAAGGAGGAGTCGCTTAATCCAGTTAATGTGCTCCTGGACGGTTGAAAAAAGGGCAGATTCAGAGAGGTCATGGTAGGGCAAAAAGGGGAAACAAAGTGTTGGAGAGAAGAGGTTGGAGAAGGTGAAATATTTTATGTAAAAAAGCACTGCCTGTTTATTCTCAGACAAATTTTATACCCTAGCCACAGAATCACAGCATATGCGTGGTCACCTGGAAAGTGAACAGGCAGTTTACTGTGCTAAATTCAGACTGTTTGCAGCCTCAGGAAGACATTACTGCACCGGGTGACGATGCTGTTGCAGTTTCAAGGTTACCTTTGGGACCACACAGGAGAGGAGCAGATACCATGGCAATTTAGGTTCTAGACCGAGTCCTGAGAAAACTGAATCCTTGCAGATTCTAGAGGATGAAATCAGAAAATATTGATAATAATTTAAAACCCACAAAAACTATATAAACTACTACTAAAAAGAGAACAAATCCTTGACTCAGAATATAGATATATCAATTTAAGACACAGCAATGGAGTTGCTTAGGATAATAGTACTTAACTCTCTTATATGACACTTTTAGTTGTATATCTTAAAATTCTTTATGCAAATAAAGGAAATATACTTTTGTTTTGCACATTAGAGATATCGAGTGGATCGAATCACAAAAAAGCCTAATGACTAGCCCATGGAAAAACACTGGGTCATTGTCCGTCTGGGTCTAGCCTGGACCTTTTTGTATGCCAAAAATTATTTTAATCTGTAGGTTTTGTTGGAAACAGATGCATGTCAGAGTCTCCTGTAAGAAACCTTCGAGTCTCTGGTACATTGCCCAGGCTATAGTTTCAGGCCTAACATATTTAGAATACCTCGCAAGTGGGCTAACCTTGTAATACATGCTTACAAACTCTGTAACTAGGCAATTAAAAAAAGAAAAAAACCTCCATGGTGGTTATCAAATTTGTCTTAGGAAACCCTTGTCCTGCTGTGAAACTTAAACCAAGAGATGGTGTTGCAACAGAATTACATTTTTTCTTAAATTATATTGTCTCCTAATTCATGCAACTGTATTATCCTAGTTCTACTCTGAACCACCAGTCTGCAATCACATCTTCCACGTCAAGGAGGCAAAATGCTCATTTTTATAGGATTTTACCTTTTTTTATTAAATAATTCTGTTATCTAAATAGTAAAGCATTCTCGTCTAAGTACACAGATTTTATTTCACTGCATCTGGCTTCTCTATTGTTAATGAATGAAAACTAAAGGAGAAAGCACAGCTCTGGGCTTTTTCTGTTCCTCTTTTATCTATTCCAGTTTGTAGATCCCAAGAGCCGCTTAGAACTTATGGTTTTGAATACCCATGGAAATACACAGATAACTTGTAGAGACCGTGGTGCTTGTCAGAAAGGCCCTGTAGATGAACCTTTGCTTGTCTTCACCAGCCAAGCTCACCTTTAGTTGCTCTTGTTATGCTCTGTCCTAGTGAACCTCAAGGAGCTTACACGAAGCAAATGTTGTGATGCAGTGCAGTGGATGAGTTTTCTCGGAAGAGTCAAGAAATCCGATGCCAGATTTCTTACAGATCTTTGTAAATATGCCACAGCGAGACACAAAGTGGTAAGGTATCCTAATTAACACTATGTATTCCGATATTAAGAAATAATGACTTATTCAAGGAGGTGGCTGTATATTGTCAGGAAATGCAGCAGCTTTTACACAGACTCATCTGTTTCTGCAGAGGATTCAAATGCCTCCCTGGGGAACAGCAATTCCTAAGCAGAAATGCCAGTGTGAAATGCTCTGTGCAACTGGAGCCAGGAAGAAAAATCAGGCCTTTCATTCTGGATGTATCTGAAGTCATCTGTGAACAGTTCAGGAATCTATATGTCTTTCCAGAAGGAGATTAATGATTGCCCATTTTCCAATCATCTGTTCGTAGCAGCCAGGCTGTGTGGAAAAAGTCTTGTGCACTGCATCCTGAAAAGTTTGCGATTTGCAAAACATTTTACCATTTTCTACTTCAGAAGTGTCTAAATTTAGTAATGGTACATAGCTCTGACTCCCTGGGGGCCTCCAGTTCAAAAGTCCAGCTCTGTTTTGAATGTAAGTTTACAGCAAACAGCGCAGCACGACACAGCAGTGGCTGAAGAACAACCTACATCTGCTCCTCAGGGCAAAATCTTTATCTACTCAACCTGAGGGTGCAAGGGCCCAGGTAGGATGCTTGGGGGTGCAGCAATTGAAGGTATGTTCTCCCCTCCTTTCAGCATGGGCTTCACAGCAACAGAGGCACAGGAGGTTCTGGTTCTCCCTCCAGATGGCTGTGGCCCTGTGGCTGCTTGCAGCTCCCACCACGCATTGCCTGCTGAGAAGAATGGCAGCCCCGTGGTCTGGTTGCCCACCCTTCCTTTGCAAAATCCTGCTTGCTGGACCATAGCCTGCTTACACCACTGCTGCTGACCGTCCTGCTGGTTCTGGGCCCTCTGTGTCCTCAGAGGGGAGCAGAAAGCAGATCTTGCCCTCCCTGAACTGCAAAAGCAGCTACCAGGTCAAGCTGGGCACGCCAGCATGGTGCAGAGGCTGTTGCTGGCCAGGCTCTCCAAAACCATCTCACCACTTTAATGTTTCCCCTCTTTCTCACTGTATTAGTAGAATACAGAATCCTAAATGCTTTAGTAACACTTTTTTCTTCCTCTTCTTCTCAGTAGCATTAGTAACAACAATAAAACGATTTCCCTAGGAACAAATTCTTAAGTTATGAACTCTAGATTCAAACAAGGAGCATTTATATTGTGTGGAAAAGAGAAGGCCTTTGTTTGAACACAACAACCAGGCATGAAGAAAATACAGAAGTATGCTTGGCCAAATTTTTCTGCCTCATTTTCTGTCAATAAGCTGGTGGTAACAGAACAGAATTTTTCTTGCTGAGTTTAATGCTTGTGCTGTATTATTTTAGATATGCTCCATTACCTTATGGCACAAAGGATCTGTTTTTTCTCAGTATACAATAGACTTCATGCTTCTGTTGTGAATTCCTTTGAATGCTATGAGGAATTGCACAGGGAACTGTCTCCTTTGGCAAGAAGGAATGGTGGAAAACAGAAGATGTTGCTTATGAAACTCCATGGGAGTCAGTCTGTCTAGCCACACTGCAGCATAAATTCAGTTCAATACTTATCAAAACCCAGTACATCTGCACAGTTCCACTATGTGGCCAAATTTAGACTACTTCTTCAGAACTTTTCAAATGGATTCAACTGTGCATGATGAAAGGCTTGCACCTGAAACCAGACTTAAGTACTTTCAGTGTGTAAAAATGTATACAGTTGTTGTGTTCATTTGTGGGTTTTTTTATTTGTTTAAAGGTAGAGGTACATTTGTCTGATCTTCTGAAGGAGAATCACATCTCCTGTCTTCATCTCAAGTCAAAGATCAATCCTAGTTTGTCAATTCTTGAAATATTTCCTGAAATATCTTCTTCAAATATCAGAATGAGGAACCGTAAGCAACAACATGGAGGAGGACAGAGTGCTGAAGATCATAGAATCATAAAATAGTTTGCGTTGGAAGGGACCTTTAAAGGTCACCTAGTCCAACCCCCCTTGCAATGAGCAGGGACATCTTCAACTGGATCAGGTTGCTCAGAGCCCCAACCAACCTGGTCTTGAACGTTTCCAGGGATGGGGCCTCCACCACACGGCAACCTGTTCCAGTGTTTCACTACCCTCATCGTAAAACATTTCTTCTTTATATCCAGTCTAAAACCTACCCTCTTTTAGTTTAAAACCATCACCCCTGTCACAAGAGGCCCTGCTAAAAAATTTGTCCCTGTCTTTCTTATAAGTCCCCTTTAAGTATTGAAAGGCCGCAATCAGGTGTCCCCAGAGCCTTCTTTTCTTCCCTCACCACAAAATATTGTAGATGAGTAAAATTAGCATGGGTTCCAGAGTGACTAGACAACTTAATGAAAGATGAATCCATTGGGGGCCATTAAATGCAAAATCACCATGTCTGGTTCAGGAATCCTCTGAACCACAAATTGTTGTGTGCTCGATAGATATTCTGGGAACAACATCATGCACTTGTTCTGTTCCTAAATTATTTTCTAGGCATTTACTGCTGCCCACTGTTAGAGATAGATAGAATACCAGGCCATGCTGCTGTTCCCTGACTTGGTGTCCCTGTTTCTATGTTTTTAAAGATTTCTGTGAGTTATTTCACATTTCTTCCTAGGAAAAGGTGGAGAAAGAGAGGGATCAAATGCTAACTCATAGAGGAACGTGAATAGAGGTCACCAAGAGGAAAATTAAAAGAGAGGAAATTTCCAAATACTGTGATTTCTCTATGCATTTTCCCACTCTCCTTCCCTAACATATTTATGATGTGAGGAGAGGCTAAGCCACTTTTGGATGCATTGTGTGTAACCTGATGAATCTTAGAAGAGTGAAGAGCTTGTTGCAAGTTCTGATCTGCTTCCAGTTCAAACAGTCTGCCTCAGAGTCAAAAGAAAACAATGTGGTCAGTCTCTCTTGCTCTCTTCACATCCCTAGCGCTGCTAAATGTGTAATTTAAAAAAGCGCATGTAATTCTAGTCAGTCACGCCTTAGCTAATCCATTTGGGTAAAAAGTACCTGTCCCCTGCTTTCCAACTTCCAAATATTGATTGTTTTTGCGGTATCCCTGTGTGGTCATGAAAGCCGAATCTTTCAGTCCCCGTTAACTCAGTCCTGTTACTTCTGCTCGCTGTCTGAACCATCAGTTTTGCAGTTTCCATTTCCCAAGTTAGGAGTTCCTCACCTGGCCCGGTCACTGTGGTTGGGGAAGGCAAGGGCAGGGACTTCAGCCTTGTTTTCACAAAGTAGCCTGGACTAAGACCTAAAGTCTGGGAAACGGTTGAGATAGATAGTTAGCAGCTGTGGGCTTCTTACTGACATGCAACGAGACTTTGAGTAATTCTCTTATCTTTTGTGTGTCTCTGATGATCTGTCTTTAAAGCAGTCCATTCTCAGTGATCTATAGGTTCAGGCTAAATTATATTATGATTACAGGGGCAGATTGGATCTGGCCAGGCTCAGTAGTTTCAAGTGTTGCATAGACAGCCATACCATATCTAGGGTAAGTTTGTCTCTGAGGAAGCTCAGCCAATATTTCGTACATTGAAGACTGCACTATTTAATCCCACCAGACTGAAGCTTGCTCTGCACAGAGGCAACTTGGGTGTCCAAGCACCCCATGGTTCAAGGTGGCTTTGCATGAAGCCAGCCTCAGTTTAGCAAGTCTGGCACAGAGATGGAGGTATTAAGTCCAGCTGGACCTGAGCTAAATCCTGCAGAGCCCTGAACACAACTGCACTGTGCTACTCAGCCAGCGCTGACCATTCCTGGAACACGGAGCGTGGACAAAAGGCCGCACTTGTGTGGTCCTGAAGGAATCGACATGCTCCAGAAGGGCGTATTAGCACTAATGTGGCACCAGCCATCCTGGCTGACTTTGCAGCAAACCATTCAAATGCCTTGGCACCAAGTTGCTCAGTACCATATTGCCTGCAATTTTCCATTAGCTAGGTTATTTCAGGCCTTTACTCCTCTCCTCCTCTCCCAAAGCTCTGGATAATGGCAAGTTGGCCACAGCATGAAAGCAATGATTTTGCCGTAACTGTATGTATTATCAGACCCTGTAACTTTTATGGTTATTTAATGCAGTCTTGCAGTTTTTGTCCACCCTTTTTTGGCTAGGCAGCCTGCATTTCAGGATCCTAGCCACGGAGCACAATGAAATTACCGGTTAACTGGTCCCTGTAATAAGCTGCACTTAAGAGTCCCGTCTGTGGGATATGCGGAAGGGATGGGCCAGAGAGCTGGAAATAGGACTTCACTGCATACAAAGAACCACAATAGCAAGTACAATGTCACTGCTTAGACAGTTAAACTCGGTAGCATGCACACAAAAGAAAAAACAGAAGTCACCAGTCTTGATAAAACTGGTTCCTATCAAAACGTGCAGTGAATTATCTGTGGTTTTTTCCAAAAAGGAATAACAAGGCTAAACGTGAAAGTGTTTTCAGATAAAAGATGTGATTGTAAAGTATTACGTTAAAAATAAAATCAGTGAAATGAGTAAAGAGGACTTTGAAAATTTGTCTTCCTTTGTCTATTCTCAATCAGATTTGAAAAGTTTCCAGCACTGTGTTCTTCCTTTTAGACGGTGCAGTACCTTGGCAGCATTTCCTGAAGGCTTTTCACGACCTCCTACCGTAATTGCTTTGAAACCTACAGCAATCTCTGCAGAGTCTTCTTAAAAGAATATTACAAAAATTAGCGATGCAACTATTTTTCCATAAACTTAAAAACGGAAGGATCACGTTTTCTGATGTTTTTGTGTCAAAAATCTGCTTTTTCAGATTTACCAAAATGTTCCTCTTCTCTGTTTTTTTTTTTTTAAATTCTTGCTTAAAAATATAATAGGTGCACCAAATTGCACAATTATATCAATATTTCAAAAGCTACCAAATCTTACACATGCAAAAAAGGGAGCTTAACAATCTTTGCTAATCTCTAATGCAAGATGTATCCATTATTTATGAAGGCAGCAGACAAAGGGGAACTGCTCTTGAATGGAATCCTAAATACTACATGAGGGAAGCCCTGGGCAGCTACACAGCACAAGGTTTCTTGTTATTAAAGCTACTGACCGGTCTCTTGGGAGATTAACTCTGAAAGTTAGTCTCCAGCGAACTTTATACTAATTGAGTGTGAACTGGATTGAGTTTTGTAAAAGAAGGAAAGAAGGAAGGTACGATCCTGCTATCCAAGCATCTTTTTGTACCAACACTGGTCGAGTTAGAGGAGGTCAGCACTTTCTCCCTCTCATCGCAGGTTTTCTGCATCTCTTTTTTTTCGTGTGTGAGGAAGGCAAATGACCTTTAGTGGCAGGCTGCTGTGGTGGAGGCCCTTACATGGCATTTAGGGGAACTCCACGTCCGGATCCAACAGCACTACAACTTGCCTTCCCTGTGGATGCGTACTCACACCGGTGTATGTTGTACTAGCCTTAATGCCTATTAATGCTTGCAAATGACACAGTGAGGCCAAATGGCAATTTCTTGAAAGCTGAGCTTAATAGACCCTTAAATACTATTTGTTTCTGCTGTGGCTGATGAAGTTTTCCCATATCGATATTCCATACAGAGTTGCAGAGGCAGTGTCTGACAAGGGTGGGATCTTTTTCTCATCCATACAGAATCCATTTTTGGATATCCCACTTCAGAAGAGGGTGTGTGTGGGGACACTAATGGCAGAGTTTCATGAGAAAAGCAGCAAGAATGATCAGAGCTCAAGAAATAATCACGAAGGCACAGACTCTGAGGAAAGGCAGGAGGAACTGAGTTTATTTTCTGTGGAGAAATGGAGAGAGAGGAGTGACATGATGTCAGGCTTCAAAAGTGTTTTTTCAGACACATCGAGGCCTGCCAGGGAGAGGACAGGAAATTGTCTGACCTCTGTGTTTGCGTCGGATAAGACCAGAAAAAATGTGTTGAATAAAACCAGAAAAGATAGGCAATGTGCAGTTTGGGTATTAGTGAAGATTTTTAGTGGTAAGGATAGTGAAGGACTACAGTGTATGTCCTAGGAAGCAGATCTCTGAGTTCTAGAGAACTTTAAGAGGAAGCTGGAGAAGCATTTGTGAGAAGTGGCATAGGTATGGGCCACCCTACTGCGGGTAATGGGATGGACTAGAGGACCTCCTGAGGTCCCTTCCTGCCTCCTATTTGTGAGTCTATCACTATATATAAAGATTTCCAGGATACTTCAGATGGAAATACATTAAAAAAAATCTGGGACATAATGAAAACTACTACTCAGCTCTTTTCTGTGCTGAATTTTCTTCCATAATCAACACACCAGGCACAAAACACCTACAAAGCCCTGTAAGAGCTGAATGAGGGCCCAATGTGAGGACAGCAAGAGGTACCACACCATACCACTGAAAATGGTGGGAAATCTTTCAAAACATAGTGAGAAGGAAGAGACTGGTGTCAGCCAAAGCAAGAGCTGATTTATGGATCTGAATGTTCTGGTCCTTTTTTTTCTCACTGTGCTACCTTCTGTAAAAATAATTTAAAAAACAACAAGAAGAAAAGCACAAATGTAATGGAAAATGCTTTCATCTCCCTAAGGTTTCGATATGTTCAAACTTTGCAAGAACCGGGGAATAGTTTTCCTCAGGGAAACTGTTTTCACCATTTCTCCCTTGTCTCATTTACTAAAAAACCCAGTGCTTTGAACTTTAAAGGAATCACACAGAAATGATGGTTTTATGAACATGACAAGGAGAATAGTGTCCATCATGTTTTTTTCGTTTAGAAATATGTTCAGATTTTCTTGTTGTGAATTTAGGCGTGCTAAATTCTCCATTCTTTGTTTTAACCACATACAGAAAGCGCTGCCTTTATGGTTTACATCAACATAAAATACAAGCTTGTTCCTTGTGATCCCAAAAGAATGATTCTGTATGTCAGAGCATACTTAAACAAGGAGTTTAACTTCAGGAGAGTAAGGTCTTACAGGTGAACTACAAAGGACGGAGGAATTATACTTTTGTGCCCTGTAGTGAGCTAAAGGAGGAATGGTGGGATGCAGACTTCTAAGAAGCCACAGGACAATTCCGTAAGCCTCTGTTTCTTTCTTCCTCCATCCTCTACTTTTTTCTCCTCCTTCTCCCCTATGCTTTCTCCCCACGCTGTAACCCCCACAAAGGGTGTAACACTGGCTCTGTGCAAGCGCTGCACAGTTGGGCTGGAGTTTTTACCCCGAAAGAGCAGTTCACCTTCAAACAATTCTTGAAAGCGAGTTTGAAATGGCCTTGGGCATTTTGGCTTGAAATTTAGAATACCTTTTGAAAAAAAAGTGAGTAGATTAGCTTCATTGCTAAACTCAGTTATGTTTTCAGATACACCGGACTTTCCTTCAGGGTTAACTTTTGTTGTTGTTTATAATTTGCATATCTTTGTCCTTACCTTTAGATTAGAAGACCAAAAATGCCACGAAGGCTTGGAAGCATAAAGCAGCTGAAGGTGTTGTTTGGTAAGGTCCCTTTTTTTTTCTTTTTTTCGCCTTAGGTTGATAGCACTACATTGACTTTGTGTCTTACTTATTATTGTGTGAAAAATTCAAATTAAAGAAATCAGACAGTTGTAAATTGCTGGTATATGTAGCAGTAAATTAAAGAGCAGGCATCAACAGAAATAAAAGCCTGAAATGAATTGGAGTTCTGAAGATTCACTGGGAAACTGAAGAAAGACATCAAAGCCAGCACAAAAAAATTAACAACTTAGCAAGGAAAACTGGCTTTTAAGAAAAAGACATTGGATTCAGCAAAGTGGTGCAAGGCCCATAGAGGATAAAAATAATGAAGAAGAACAGCAGGGAACGCAGTAAAAATGGCTGGAAATGAATACACCATGGAAAGTAGTTGGTACAGTCTTCACTAACAAAACTTACAGCAATTGAGCAATAATAAATGCTCAGGAATTGTCTGAAGAGGAGATGATTTGCTGTTTAATGCTGTTATAATGCTGCTTACATGTCAGGGAACAACCAGCCTTTTAAGCTAGTCAGAACACAAGATTCATGAACCAGCTTTTAGAGCTAAATCACAAGGAATCCCCCGGTAGTTTTTAATACTTAGTTATATGACAGCCTAGAGGGTCGGAAAAAAATGAGCGTAAGGCATTAGTAAAATTATGTCAGGGATTATCTTGTAACCCTTACTTACGCTTTTAGTCCCATTACCATTATGGGACGCAAGTATCAAGTGTGTGTTTGAGACATTCTCATACATCATACGCTAAAGCGAAACCTGTTTCCCAGGCTGTAGATCATTTTGCCGTATACTATTCCGTGTGGATTTGGACTCCTGTTCTGTTCCAAGAACTGTTGTCGCTGCGATGCTGATGAATTAGGTGAGTGTTAACTCCAAAATACATGTATCACCAGCAGCACCTAGAACACCCTTGCACAAGTTCGTGAGCCCGATTCTGATCCCACTTAGCCTAGTTTTATTCCAGTGAACTTCAGCAGAGTGACTCCTGGTTTGCTGCCATATAAGGGAGATCAAACCCAATGTGACTCAGCCTGGTGCTTGCCAGTCTATTCTAAGTAAAACTATAATAAGAACTTCCACAAAGGAAGCTTATTTTGCTAATATGCAAAAAAGAAAAAAAAAGAATAGGAAAAGCGCGTCTTTATAGACATTTGTTCCACTTTTTTTTTTGGCTTTTGAACTGGATATGTCTACACAGACTATAAATATTTGCTCAAGGCAGTTTTGACATGTGTATGAGCTACCTGTGTTAATTTTAATATACTTCATGCTGGTAACAGCAGAAGTAAAGAGCACAGACTAGCAACCGGAAGCCGGGGTATACATGAGTAGTCACTTGCCCATGCCATCGCTTTCTGTTCCGCTTGCTAACACCAGCTCAACACTAGTCTGGATGTGCTTACCCGTTGTAAAATCATTTTGCCTGAAGAGGAACATAGGAAAAAAGAAATACACCTGAAGAGTATGTTCTGGTATGAGGGATGCAATTGTCTGGTTCTTGGAGTCACTGGAAGCCAGTTGTTTCTGAATGGGCCCTTAACCAGGAGAAAGAATGACTCTGTGCTTGAGGAAAGCACTTGATTATCCTCACATTATGCCTCAGAGAAGCATTATTTTCTTAGCCCAAATTTTATAGCAAAGGCACAGTGTTTGTAGTATTTTATTCTTGGAAAAGCTTAATAATTCTGTTGGAAAGACAGGCTATAAAACAACTTCCACAGTGGCTGCAGCTATGGGGCTATACCCAGCAAGTGCCTTAGGCATATAACTTTACCCATATGGGACAGGTTTGCTCATGTGACTGTTGATAGTGCCTGCATTTCACAGCAGTACGCCTCTACAAGGTCATGCGATTTGCCTTGCACACTCCTTTTAGCACAAAACCACTTTGAATGTTAGAGGATGCTCAGCTATTCACGTAAGAAGTCGTTCTAAAAGCAATACATTATGCTGCAGAATATTAAACATTATATATATGTATATTTTCTTTTCTGAGAAGATCATTGCAGCTATTGCCTTAAGGAGTCACTAAGGCTACTGTTCCCTTTGCTCAAATTCCTCATTGAAATGTACGTCTTTTAGGAGGCCAGTACGAAACCAGTCTATGCATAATAGGCAAGTAAAAGAGATTTGGGGAATACATAGAGGACCAGCCATCTACATAAATCATAACCTTTTACTTCTCTGCTCTTCCTCTATTACTTCCTTTTTTTGCGCTAAGGGACTATGAGTAAAACCTTGGCTTCACTGAAGAAAGAATTAAAAACAATTTAAAAAAGATGTGGGCAGTTTCAACTGGATCTTTTTGGTCAGCCATAGGAAAAATGGCAAACGCACCAGGATGATTACTTAAAACTTGGACAAGAACGCCATGCACTTCTAGTCCCAGGCTGCCTAAACTCTGAGCCCTGGGTCAAACGAAGGGTACAGTTTTATAGTGTTGCCTTTAGTGGCCTTACTTCTGCTGTGCTTCTGTGGCTTTTTAATATGCTTTGTGGACAAGGAAAAATTGCAGCATTATTTTCTCCTCATTCAGCATGTGCAGTCTCTGGTGTGGTTTTGCTTAAGTTCTTCTTTTGAGTGTTTCACCATAGGATCCTAGAGTCAGATTCCTGGGGTGAAAGTGTAAAAGCATACTCCATTCTTAATTCCTTCTCCAGGACTTCCAGGTTCTTCCCTAGACAAAATGTAGGATGGAGAACTTGCCTGAGTTCCCCTGCCTGGTGCCATAGGGTCTTCCATGTGTGGCTCCACTGCCTGGTAGCTGCTCTTGCCAGAACGGCAGCGGCAATAACTACCCTCCTGTTGTGATGCCTCCGGCAGGGAGGTGATGGATGGGAGGAAGTGTGGAAAGCAGCAAAAGGGTGTGGAGTTTGCAAGGAAGGGGGAGTGACCCTGAAGGTTGGTGATGAGTCTTTACTTGAGTCACCTCCTTCAGACTGATGGTGAAGTTACTGGGGACCCCGAATGCAAGACATGGCATGATCAGCCAAGTTTGTTGGATAATCATGTCTGGGAAATGGTAATTGATAGTTCACCAATAGACCACGCAGTAGGTTTGGACAGGGGCCTCTCTGGGTCTTGTATTAGCCAATGCATTTGTGAACATCTTGGATGATGAAACAGCTTAGTAAATTTGCAGAAAACACCATTTAAGGACAGACTGTCAGTACACTGGGGGAGAAGATGAGAATTTAAAAATAACCTTGAGATACTGGAGATATGGGAGAAAAAAAAATAATATTCTTTTAAGAAGGTAAGTGTAAAGTATGCCAGTTAGGCAAGAAGAAATGGGCTTCAGCTGCAGCAAGAAGGATGTCTTTCTTGGTCAGATATATGAAAACACTTCTAATGATGACACCCTTTCACATACGGCATAAAGGGGCCCTGCTGGCCAAAAGCCTAAAGAAACACAGAAGACGACTTGAGGAGCACCATTCAAGTAGCTGGCTGAGCCCTCTAATTTCTCAGGCTCTTCCTCTTTCCTCCCTACTCCTTTTGAGGATGCAGCCAGGCGGTGTCACAGCTGATGTTAGTCACTCATGCCCCGGAGAGCCCTGCCCCGAGCCACCTCAGCTTTGCTGCATCCTACAGAAAGCCTCAAAGAAGGAGAGAGACTCTTCTCTGTAATTCCTGGTGTAAATTTGCCAAACATAGAGGTTTTGACACATAAGCAAAATTTAAGAACTATGCTTTAGGATTTTGTCCCTTCTTCTGCCTGTCCTTGAGTCCGGTGGGTTTCGGAGTTGGGACTGAGCTATGGTTGATCTTGTTCAGCACAGCCTTCCCTGTAAGGAAGGTCTTTGCAGACCTCCTTGGCTGTCTACAAAGCCAGCTACTCAATAGACCCACTCCTGTGATGGCTATGAGCCTGCTGGAGGCTGGGCACAGACTTACAGGCCATGGGAAGTGGTTCAGGTGATAGTTTCTTTTCCCTAGAGCTTTCCCATTAAAAGGTGGATTGCCATGCATTATATTAACCAAGTGTGCTGTCTGAGTAGCCTAAGCAAGTCACACTACATCTTGATTTGGGAGCTTACTGAAAAGAGGGAGTGGGGTTGTGTCTTCTGTGAGGAGGCTCAACAGTTTTAGGGTCTAATGCACTTGGCACAGTTGCTGAAAAAAGTCATTATTTAGAGGTCCAGGCCTGAGTGAAGAGAGAAAAATAGGAACAGTAATGGTTTTGGACTCTTTATGGCTATAACGTGAGTCATTTGATCTCATGGTCCCCTGGTAGAAGTCTTGCTCCCAGACTCTTCTTCCTAAACATTACCACACATGTATATGCACAGAGTGCACAGTGCAAGAAAGGTCTCTCTTGTCCTGTCTGGCTCTTGCTGTGTCCTTGGGTGCCCTGACCCTTTTGCTCCCAGTTTAGCCCTGAGCACACACAGGGGGGAAGATGGGGAGGGGTGCTCCAGCCCCTGGCAGACCTTGGGGAGGGGAGGCATCACCTTCCAGGTGGGGACATGGGCAGCCCTATGCAGGAGGAGGTAGGGAGGCAGTGGAAGAGCAGGAGGGATGTGCCCGGACAGGCTTCAGCCAGCGAGTTGAAGGGCTGCCGGGAGAGGTGAGGTTCCTGAGGCTGTAGGTAGACCTGGAGGTGGGAGAGCCTACGGAGTGGATGTGGGGCTGGAGCTGATTGCAGCAGCCTACCAGAGCACTGCCCTGTGTCCTCTGCATTTGTCTCCAGCTACCCCTGAGCTGAATAAAAATAGCATTTGTGTCATCTAACATCCTGGTATTTATACTTCAGGAGGCAGAGCTTAATTTCTTCATTAACCTGAGTAAATAATTAAATTTGTCCCCAACACTTCAAGGGAAAATGCATTAAAAAATTAACTTAGTGTATGGGAACAAGATTAAGTCAAAAAATAGGAAACTACTTATGTGCATCACCGTTTGTTGCTGTCTTGTCTGTCCCTTGTTAACTGAAAGGAACATTTTCCCTTCTTTTAAGTCTATATTGTTTTGTGTTTATTACATCTGGTCACCTTGTGGCACATCCAGCTAGATTTGCTAGAATTGGATGTTGATATTAATAATTACTTGTCTGAGCTAAATGAAAGTGCTAATGAAGTCAAGGCCCCTCTGGGGGTAGGGTCTGGGCTTCCATTCCTATGCAGGCATAGCTGAATTTTTAGGAAGAAAGCTAACACTATCTCCACAAAAACACTTCTCCCGGGTGATAATACACCATATCATCTCCCTTAGCAAATAGTAACAAGTGCTACGGAGCAGCAAGCAATTTGTGAAATGTTGAGAAAGACAAATGAAATTCCTGCAAACTACCCAAAGGCTATGGAGCTTAACTCAGCATGTGGCTGAACTGAAGGCAGAGCTATTTTAAATAATTGATAGTGCTGTAAATGTACATGTTGCGGTACAGGAAGAGGTCAGTGCCTAACACGTAATAAGCCCTTGCCCTGAAGGTTTTGTGGTCTGATAGCACAAATGGAGGAAAGCGCTGGTACCTCACCAGAGGAAGGGGCCTCGGTCGGTCGCATGGCCTTTGGAGCACAGACATCCCAAGGAGCGTGGGGGTGCAAATTCAGAGATGAGGCCAGTATCTAGGAACGAGCGAGCGGGATTGGCAGAAGGTCAGATGCAGTTTGGAGGAGGCAACCAGACAATTCAGAGCTGTGCCATTTTAAGCAGGCTGACTAAGACATGTCGGTGATTCAGCGGCGATGCTGGCGTGCCAGCAGAGCTTCGGGAGCTCGTGTGAAACAAGATCGGGTACTCTGAACCCAAGGTCTGGCGTGATCGGTGCAGATGGAGGATCCTGTGGCTGAGACTTCCTCAGCTCAGATGTAGGGAGGTTAAGGCAGTGGGTGGAAGGCTCTGAAGATGACACTG